TATGAAGATACCCCAAGGTAAAAGGGGAAAATAATAGGAAAAAATGGAAGGAAGAGGTATCCACTAGAAAAACTTTTCCATGAGTAGATTAAAATTACAACCAAACATAATACCATGAACCTAAACAAAACCACCAAGAAATCCTTTGAAGCAGAGCTTGGGGAATAGACAAGAAGGCCATGGCTCTGAAAAGTTGTGTATGGGGAAATGAAGCCATCCTGCAGTGATGTCCACACAGCAGCAGCAGGAAGGAGAGCAGCTCCATTCCCTGAAGGATCAGGCTTCCCCTTGGGGTGTGCCACTCAGTTGGAAGTGCCCTCTGCTGCCTGTAGTGAGACCTGTAATCATGGATGCCCTCTGTCGCTCTGTCCTTCTCTTTGCTTGGTCTCTGCAGGCCTCCTGAGGGGCCCATCTGGTAGGTGGGGCTGGGAATGGCAGATAAAGTCCAACTTTGTCAAAGACAGATTTTTTATTTTTGTTTCCTGCTTCCAAGATGAAAAGGGGCAAGACTGAATTTACCATTCCAAAACCGGAAGAATATTTCACTTTTTAACATTTGACAAGTGAAAGGACATAACATGGATTTAATATACCCAGTGAGCTGCCATTTTAACATTGCCTAAATCTCATGTTTTTCTAGTGGTTCACTTCCCCTCTAATCACTAGCCAAGGACAGAACTGGATCCTCAGAGGTAGTCACTGAATAATTGTTTTACAACCCTCCTCCCCAGCTTTTTGTACTAATTAGCTTTTTTATTTCAAGTATTTGCCTCCACCCATAAGACTCACGTTAACCTAATCAGCCCTTCCTGACCTGCATGACACACAGACCCCACCACCATGGCAGCGACCACATGACTAATCCACCTCTCTACCTGCTGCCCATCACCTGACATCAGTACCTGCACTTACCTGCCCCTTTGTGATGACGTGGGGCAGACCACCCCCCAATCATCTTAATGACCTTCTCCCGTCAAAGGGCAATGTTCAAAAACATTCAACCACGAGCAACTAGTCTACAGTGCCAGGTCATTGACTTGCTAAGTTATGGTGTGTGCCCATTTGCTCTTTGAGCTATGGCCAGGCCATGTTTTAAGTTTTGGCCCCCTCCCCTACCTTGAGGAGGCGAATCTCTTTTTCTCTCTCTCGCTTTTCTGATTTACTTTCTAAATATTTTCTAATCTAACTTCTGTGCAATTCTTTGCATCTTTCACGTGGCATCAGATCGCACACCAGACATCCACACTCCTAGCGGTCCTGACCCCGGAGGCCCCACTGGGAGTGTGACCCTAACAACAAGCTAATACTTTCATCATTTAAAAAATCCATTCATATTTTACGAATCACTCAGAATATGCTGTACAGACCCACTAAGAACGTGACAGAGGCAGTGAGATTAACTTATTTAACACTGCTCTGAGCATCCTGTCTAAATTCCATCAGCTGATCTGTGGGACTCCTTGGACAGTCTTCTCTGGCATTGCCATCACCGCCTGCAGTTTAGATGCTGGCCCCATTGTTACTCACCCACCCTGGGCTCTCCGTGCCATAGAAATGTGTTGTTTTAGAGACTGGTGTAGATCAAGATGAGAGAGTTATGATCTCATTTTTTTCTTTCTTGAGAGTCTGCTTGCCTGCTTGGGGTGAGCTACCAGAAACAGAGTTCAGATTCTGAAAACAAATGACGGGCGAATTCCACATACTAGAGGTCTTCCTGCTAAGCGATCTGGCTGGCATGTGACAATTTGCACACACACTCTGGTCGACTGGGGTGGGAAGGGTCCTGATGTAAGGTGGAGAGTCAGGCCCAAGTGTCAGGTCAGTAGGTCCATCAGGGTCCCCCAGGCATGGGTTCAGGGAAGCAATGGCAGCCATTCTCTTACTCTGCCAACTTACTGTTTGACCCAGAAAACCCAGTTTCCTGACATTTCAATTGTTGCACTGCAGTGGAAAAAACGCCAATCGTGCTCGTCAGTGGCAACCGTTTACGAGTTTCTTGAGGTCTCTGTTAAACCTGTGTGGATATCTGACTGCCTCTGACACCTTCTGAGATCTGTGATTCCTGCGGGGGCAGAGAAAGAACGAGGAGGGCCAGCTGAGACTCTGGTGTTTCACTAGGGTTGAGCGTGCTTGTGTATGAACAGCTCTCAATTCCCTGTGCTAGTTTCTAGCTGGGAGTAAAAGTCGCCATTAATACCCTAAGTCATTTCCAAAGGTGTGTAGTGGATGACCAGCCCAAGTGTTTCAAAATATCGACACAGACATGACAAGCAATAGAAAATGTAGAACACTGTATTAATGTTTATTTCTAATGACAAGAAACAGAACATCAGTCCCTTATTTGTACAAAAATACCTGAAAGTTTACAATTAGGTTCACGAGCCAAAGAGCTATGTACAGAATGAAGCAAAGCACATGGGGTAAAGGTTTTGTCTCTTGATTAATACCTTCTGCATTCCCTGAAAACGTTTACACGCCAGGCCATTGACAGTCACTGCCGCTTGTACTGTGACATCACAAATCTACCAGCGGCTCATCCCGCCCCCAGGAAGGCGCAGCCATCAGTCACACCGTCAGGTATTAAGTGCAGAAAAGAGAAGACAAAACATCTAGGCTGAGGCACATGTTTCTTCAAGGTTTAGCAAACAAAAGAACATTCTGGAACTCTAACACCTAATGTAACAGAGCTTACCTATTAACTTCTAATAACCAAAGCGTTTGGCGTTTTCCTTCTCAACTTCGTCCCGGTTGCTACATGGAGTTTTCGTGTAGGAAAGAAAATCACAGGCAGAGATACAAAGTCAACAGGCTTCAAAACAACCCTGAGCTGTCCCCTTTACATTCATGTCAATTAAATACAAAAATAAAAGTCAAATGTCCTTCCGGCCCCAGTCTGCGGGACTCCTTGTGTTCAGGTGGAATTCCCAGCTGCCTGGCCGAGGCCGTGAGCTGGGCCTGGGGATGTCTGCCGCTGCACGCAGGCGGCTACATTCTCCAACAATTCACTTCGGCTGGGAAAGTACAAAAGACTACGTCAAACCGGCTACATACAAAACTGTGAATCAGAGTCAAGCTTTTGTTCTCCTTTTAAATAAACACATATTTATAAATATGAAATACTGCAAATACTAGCTGACTACTGGAGAGAGGTGTGAGAGAGGGATTAGACACTGGTGGGACTGGTCTACGGACACTGGAAAAAAGACCCTAGTGCTGTGTTTCCTAGGGAAAGCTCTACCTCAAGCCAGTGAAGAGAAAGGTCTTGTGGTCTAACTGCAGTGTCCGTCCCTACAGGGACGCTCAGTGAAGCGTGCTGCCAGGTGTGAACTTGGGAGTTACCTCACTGTCAATGATTCGAAAGATTAACTGGCTGCATAAGGGAGAAGATGCAGTTGAGCATTTATGCTCAAAAACACGCTTAGTGAGAAGATTCTCCGCTGGTGTCAGTAGACCTTCCAGGGAACACAACTAGAGTGTAAACCACAATGCAGTGTGTTTCCATCCCGCAGACTGACTTCCAGCGGATGAGCCCGACCGAGACTCAAGATGCGTCTCCCCCAAACCATGGAGGTCAACTGAGGAGTGGAGCACTTCAGTGAGTTGGGTTTTGGGCTGTCTAGTGGCTGGCACAGATTGAGAGGAGCCCGCCAGGCACTGTCTTGGAAAAGGAAGTCATGTTCTCACCACAGTAGTCTGTGTGCTTGTCGAGGGAGTCCTTTCTGCTTTGCAGGGGGGTCAAAGGTATAGCAATGGCCACTCTCACACCTGAAAACTGAACTAAGGGGACGTGACAAAGGGTGCCGCCTGCAGAACAGAGGGGACCAAGGGACGACTCAAGCCACGATCTGACACACATCCCAGAGTGGGAAGCAAGGGTTGTGTTGCTAAAACTCTCTTTTGTGTCCACAGCTACCGTGAGGTACTTCTGACCCTAAGCCAGCAGAGGGGAGCCTCTCACTGCTCTGTCTGCACTGGCTCACGGGGTTTTCAGCAGGATGGAGGTCATCAAGCAAGATCTTCAAATGGCAGCCTGTGCCCTACTGCAACGGTTCCTTGTCTTTGTTGCCATGGAAACCCCTGGGACACAGCCACAAAGCTAACTAGGTGCCGTTTTCTTTTCAGATCCTTGGATTCCCCAAGGGACGTCAGCCGTGAAACGACTCACGCCCCTGTGGCAGGGCTAAGGCAGTGATCATTCTAGAACAGGCTGAAGGCTGTAAGCACCCCAGATGGACTACGCGGCACCCGCTGCTGGCAGACAGCGGGAGCCAGGAGTATCTCCAGAAGGCTGGCCCATGTCCATCTAGAGGTGAGGCCGGTCAGTCCTGCTATGTTATGGGACAGTGAATTTTCCAAAGAAATAGTCTCCTGCACCGTGGAGGACAAGACACGCTAATAACAAAAGGTTCTGACATTTGAGCATAGAGAAACGAGGAACAGACTGTGGTTGCTTGGCTGAGTCCACAAAACATGCCAAATGCCTGCCACAGCTGACACCTTTTATTTTAACAAAAAGCTTTTCAAGTATACTGGGAAGGGCCGGGTGATTTGTAACATGGGAGCTGAGTCCTCACTGTGGTCACGGCAGAGAGTGTGATCACCCTCTGGAAACACTTGGGGACTCGCATTCGGTCTGAAGTCTGCCCACATGAAACTCTTTGTCTTACATGAGTTGAAAAGCCACATTTCCCTCCTCTCATAGGCTGAGTACAATATTGAAAACAAAGAAGGAGTGCAAAAAAGTGATCAATACAAAAAAGTAAACATATCAGTTTTAATTGTCAAGATTATTCCAGGGCAAGAGTTCACTTCCAATCACTTCTGTCTGGTTCTTGTTCCGAAGTGGCCCAGCCAAGATGATCATTCCAGTTTATTCTCAAATTTGCGCTGGATCTTCTGTGCCCTCCCCAATTTGGCAGACACGGAGGGAGGCGGTCCTGCTGTTTCCTCAGCAACAAATTGTTATTAAGTCCAAACACAAGTCAACCTTGGTCGATCGGCACCAAACAAACCGTCTCCCTCCGAGTCCCCGGGTGCAGACAGACGTTTACTCTTCACCAATGTACAGACCTCTTCTTCATTCCAGTGTTAGCTTCCTCCAGGCTTCAGCTGAGAGCACATCTGAGGTCATAAGGCCACTCGGATACAGTGGTGCTTGAGTTTGCAAGGCAGGACTCCTTTGTTCAGCTGGTAGAAGTCGACCAGCTGGATCAGGTCGGAGAATTTGGTGTTCCCATCATCCAGGCTGAAGAACGTCTGCCCATCGTCCTCACACTGGAGAGACACAAGAACACTTGCTCGGTTAGAAATCCTGACCTCCATGGACAAAGCAGGGCTGTGGTCAGCAGAAGCTTTGGCTGCCCACGGTTTGGTTCTTCCGGGACACACCTGGAGTCAGCAAGGTGGGCTAGGAAAGACGAGGGGTGGGAAAGTCGGGAGCAGAGTGTTTATGCTGGGGCTGCCATGCCCTGAGTGAGTGATGAGTGCTGGGTGGTAGTGGAGACTGCTGGGACGGCTGGCTCTCCAGCTCCCCTGAGGTGGTTGACGAGAAGAGTTGTAAGTGGCTCCCAGCTCACCTGGCTCATGGGAATTAAGTGCACTAGGTCACGCATAAGTTCTCACCACACACTGCATGCCCCACAGAGGGTGCATAGACCTGGATCTTTGCTACATAACCTCAGGCTGCCTCTGCAAGGCTGCAAGGTTCACTTTGCTTTCATGAGGAAGCAACTGCTAGATTACTATGAGGGATCAACAAGATTATGCAGGCAAAGCATCTCTTTTAGGGCCTGGAATATGTGGCAGCTCTTTTTACTAAAAGGAGGAATGCCACACTGTGGCCGAGCAGGAACGACATTCCTCCTGTCTCCCTGAACTCCGTGAGTTTACACTCGATGACTGCCCTACAGTGCAGAATGAGACAATCACCCCGCCTGCTCACATGGAATGTGTCAGCTTTTAGCCTTGGCTGATGAGCGGATGTAGAACGACTTGGCTCTAAAGCCATGGCTACAGCCAAGCGTACCTCCCACTGCTTGCTTTCACGTGCTGCGAGATTTTGTGGTTCAGTCCCACGTTACTTTTCTACACTGTAGGACTGGGGGTTACTGGGAAGAACAGCATCACCTACTCTGCCCACCACAAAATACATTTCTGTTTTATGTTTTAAGCTAGAACTACAATTCCTGGGACAAGAATATACTGCAGTAGGAAACACAAAGGGTTGTGAACATGCCGCTTTTCCTTGAATAGTAATTTCTGTTTGCACATGATGCCTGAAAAGCCTGGGCTCAGCCCTGGACTTGGCGCCTTTCCCCAGACTGGTGCAAAGCAAGGTGCTGCAGGCTGTTCGCTTCACTTTCCTCCTCTGTAAAGTGGGTGCATCAGAACACGCCAGGAAGCCAGTGACGGCATGCCTGTTTGTCGTAGCATGCTGCCTCCTTTCGATCACAAGAGCTAACCACGAGGCCCACGGCTGCCTCGTGAAAACTGCATTAAGAATGAAACCAAAACAACACACACATAAGGCATGGTCTGAAGATGTCAATACTTACTGGTAAAATCTGGAAATTTTTAATTTTCTGGTGATGACACAGTGTGAGTACAAATGCCTTTGGATTACTCTGGCTGTCACGGAGGAGAAAAAGCCTGGGGAATGGAAAACAATTGATTGCTCAAAATTTTGAAAATCCAGAACGAATCTCACACACACACACACACACACACACACACTTTCCCAGTCCCTCTGACGAAACAGGCGTGGAGCTGCCATGCTTCAGTGCTCTGGCATCTGGGTGGCCTTTAGCAGCAACAGCACAACAGCACACTTGGCACCCGGATGGCAATTTTGAATTGTCACCCTCCCTTGGAAGAAGCTAGGGCTCTCTGGGGACACGCCTGACTCCAAGCCAGGGCTCTTAGGGGACATGCCTGACTCTAAGGTAAGAAAACTGCAGGGTGAAGCTGGAGTGTCCTGTCCAGAGAGGCAGGAAGTGCTCAGACACTAGCAGGAACACATGAGACACAGGGCAGGCTGTTCAAACCTGGCGCCAAAGCGAAGAGCAGAAGTAATCGACTAAGCTCCAGTATGGAAAGTCATGAGTCTATACTGGCATTTGTAAACAAATGAGCAAAATATGAATAGGGGAGAAGGAAAAACTCCTCCTCAGAGAAGAATGTCAGTCTAATAAACTAAGGAATGGTGCACTAAAAACCAGCCCTTGGCAATGACCGTTGCAACGATTAACTGAGGGGAAGATCTTCAATGCCAAAACTAGCAGACCAAAGTCAGATGAGAAGCAGAATGTTTCATGGCATCAAAATATCATACTTCTAACACTGATTACAAGGTGGAACGCAGTAGCTTTTCAATAGAGAAGCCTGGTCAATACCATCTGTACCAAGTGTTCAAATTAACACCACCAGGAAGGAGGTATCTTGGCCTGGGGGCCTCCCAAGAGGATGCACTGAAGATGAGGCTGCACTGAAGATGAGGCTGCATCATCACTCTTTAGGGCTCCTGCCAGGAAGGCATAAGTTGAACCTGATCACAAGCAACAGTCTCTGCCAGTTCGAGACACATCCATGAGAACTAGCTTCTACTCCCAGCAAGAGGCAAGTCTGGGAAAACATGCTGGGAAAGCAGAATATTCAGCACCTAGGGTTTTTTTTTTTTTTTTGCTATAAAGAAGGCAATTAGAACCACTGGTAAAACTAGATTAAATAACAGAACCGCATCCATGTTAATTTCCTGTTTTTTTTTTTTTTAAATCACAGTACTGCTTTTACGTAAGAGGAGTCTTTGTCGAAAACTTTTCATTGAAGTAACTATGATTAAAGTAACCTCATGCCACAACTTATTCCCAAATGGTTCAGAACTAAAAAATAGTTGAGAAGGATGATAAAGTAGATGTGCTATGATGTTAACGCAGTGGTATCTGGGTGAAATGTGTGCAGGCACTCATACTGTTACACTCTTTTTTTTTTTTTTTTTTTGAGTTGGTGTCTCACTCTGTCTCCCAGGCTGGAGTGCAGTAACACACTCATGGCCACAGCAGCCTCAACTTCTGGGCTCAGGTGATCCTTCCGTCTCAGTCTTCCACGTAGCTAGAACTACAGGCGCGCGCCACTATGCCTGGCTAATTTTTTGATTTATTGTAGAGACGAGGTCTCACCAAGCTGCCCAGGCTCGTCTCAAACCCCTGGACTCAGGCAATCCTCTTGCCTCAGCCTCCCAAAGTGCTGGGATTACAGGCTTGAGCCACCGTGCCCGGCTTGATGTTATTCTCAAAACCTTTTCTATAGCCTTGCAATTATTTAAAAATAAAAAAAATGTTAAATTAGAATAGCAAAAAGAAGTATCATACTGTTGCTTTTACATGAACAAAACTGGAATTAGCTGAAAGATGGACAGTCATATATAAAAAAGGAAGAGAAAAAAGTCCCACAGCCCTACACTGAACTACCAAGAAAAAATGGCCTGAGAAAGAACACACTTCAAAGATTCTTGAAACCAAACCAATCTATTTCTAGATTGTAATGTTAAGATGGAAAGCAATTAAACAAGACTAGAAAATCCTGTGCTGAAATGGTAAAACAGATATGTTTGACTACAGGACTTCTCAGGGCCTTTAAAATGTGAATATTCATTGTGACCTTCTAAGGGGCTCCAGCATGAAGTTTTCCAATCCTACCTGAGTATGACACCCCTATCCCATCTTTTTTATATATCATTTTGTAGGTCTCGTGTTCTTTAGAATACACTTTGGGACCAACTAGAATGGAATTCTATGGTTTTCTTGGCCAGGCTGGAGGAGACAGTATTCAGAATCCCAGACCCTGTTGTGGAATTCGGCCCCCGGAGGGAGAGAGGCTGAGGAGACCCTGTCCCTCTCCTGGCAAAGGGGCGTGCCAGGCAACTCTGTTTACCTCAGAGAGTCATGTCATTCTAAGGAAAAACCACATCGCGTCGCATCGGGAATGTGCAGGCTCTGGCTCCAATTAGCAGAGGTATGAGGGCCTACCCATCTCATCTGGTACCTTACCCCTACCTGCTGTCACTTCTGTAGATGGGAAGCTACAGACAAGAGCAAAGGACACATGACCGAGCCACTCTCCCCTGAGCAGGGCAATCCCGCCCGAGAGGAGTGACCCAGCCCGGGGGAACCAGGGGCCGGCCCGAAGAAGGCTCAGTTACACAGGCAGAGCCTGAAGTTGCAAGTCTGAGACCTCACAGAGGGTGGGAAGGGTGGAGCTTGGAGTCAGCAAGAACCCTGGATGTGTCCCTTAGCCGCTTCCAATTGGGCGCCTTGCCTTCTCAGCCTCAGTTTCTTCATCTGTGCAAGGGAGAGAGCACATCTCCTGCAGGCTGTGGGGAAGGCAGTGGCTGAGCACACATGCCCCGTGCGCCACAGCAGCAAATCACACTTCGGTATCTCACCCACAGACCGTCATGACCAGGGGCTGCTCAGGGCACGGCAGTTACAGGAAAGGCGCCCAGCGAGGCCCGGGCATGCGCCGTGGCTGGAACCGGGTCCAGAACTTGTGACCGTGACCCAGGAGGGAAGTGGCGGCACCAGTGCACGTTCCCACCTTTCCTGAGAACCGACATCAGGGTCAGTGTGCGCCCTGGTCCCTTCACAAGAGAATGAAGCAGTGCCTGGGTCAAGGCGCATGGGACGTTTGTGGGCAAGGCACTACAGAGGGTGTTTTACGCATGCCTTCACTCATTGGGTCCTCACAGCGACCCTGCTAGCCCTCATTTTACAACAAGGGAACCAGGGCACAGAGAAGTGAGGCAGCTTCCCTGGTCACACAGCAAATCATGGAGGCATCGCCCAGCAGGAAAAGCAGGTGAGAAGTGAGTGTATTCCTCTCACACAGGTGCTGTGCGAGTCCCAGGACAGCACCCTCCCTCTACCTTTGGGGGAAGAGAAAGCTTCCAAGAATGCACCATCTTGCTGAGGGGGTTTCCCTCCCCCCAGGGGAGGCGTGTGGATGCTAATGGAAGGACTGCACAGACAGAGAGTGCAGGGATGTCACCTGGGACGGTGGAAGGACCAGGGCCGGACCGTGAGTGTCAGCCTGGGGGGGTTGAGCATCCATAGGTCAGGAAGGGGATAAGCAGGGGCCATGGAAGGGGTGGGCAAGAGGGGCTGATTGGCGGAGGGGGCTACAGAGCTAGATTTGCCCTTGAAAGGACCGTTCTCTGGAAGGTTCAAAGATGGCTGTGGGAGGCAAGACAGAGAGCAGGCGGTGAACTCAGTGTAGGGCTGGTGGGCCGAGTGCGCGCACACACGTGCACATATACACACGTGGAGATGCACACACATGTGCACATGCACACACACATGGTCACTGAATGAGCAGGGGCAGGGGCCGCCTGGATACTGGGATTAATGAAGGCATCAGGCTTACCGAAGCCTCCGATGTTGCTTTCTTTTTCGCCCTGCTTCTTTCTAACTTCCTTCCTATTCGAGACTGAAGCTATAGGAAATGCTGTGTCATAACATCTGTCAAGAATCTTGCACTATCTTTGAAAGTGGTTTGCTTTTCGTTGTTGTCTGACTCTCTAAATTGGCTTGCCTTCAACATCTCTGCATGGATCGGTAAAGATTATAAATGGATAATTTAATTTACCCTGTTTTGCAAACACATTTCCTCCTTAAGCCCGGGAATTAGAGGAAGATGCACCATCCCTGTGACAACGCCCGGACTGGTCCCATTGTCTGCATTTTGGTGTTTCGTTAGTGCTCCAGCAGCCTAACATGGGAGCTGGAAACGACAGCCTGAGAGACAACAGCAACTCCAGGGGGAAAGAGAGAAACTCTGACTTACACATAAGACAGGCAAGACCAGCAGGGTTTCTCTGGGGGGATAAAAGGTACAGAGGTGATGCTCCTATCTCCTTACAAGTCTGAGAAGACAGAAGCCTCCCTGGCTGGGATTCTGTCCCAAGAAAAGTAGAAGGACGAACATACTTGGGGCAAAAAAAAGCTGACCCACAATGCACTAGGTCGGCCCAGGCTAACAGGTATGCAGGCACCCCCACCCCCACCCCAGGAGTAATCTTTTTAATCCAAGGCGGACCAGAGTGGGCCTTGTCTCAGGGTCACTCAGGAAGCATCTTCAAACATACATGCCCCTCTCCCAGAGAGTCCTCCCTTGTGCCTTCCTCCCAGGATTCAAAATTGTCTGCTCCTCAGGGATGAGGACACACCATCACTGCCCGGGCCTTGGGGAGGTCGCTTGGTGACCCCAGCACCAGAGGAAGCCCTGTGAACCTTCCCCTCCCAGCAGCTTATGAGCCCTGGGCTTTCTCGGGATGAGCCCCACTGACCACACGATGAGCAGAGTCACCCCCGACACTCTGAGACCCACTTGTGATGTGGCTCAGGGCTACTGAGGGTACAGCCTATAGCAAAACCCGAGGAACACGGACATCTCGACTCAAAAATGCTAGAGAAAAACACAGTTCAAACGTTAGGCTTTCCCCTCCTTAGGCATGCCAGAAAATCTGAAGGAAAAACATGCTTTTTTACAGCTAGAAGAGAAGTCATTTCTAGTGCTTGGACTATACTCTATGATAAAGGAGACATATCATGTAAGGAGTTTTGAAACAGTTTTATAGCCACATGAAAAACAAAATAAAATTAGACGCATTCTTTACACACATGACACATGAGGATAAATGATTCCAAATGCATCTGGGATCTAAACAAATGCTAAACCTCAGCCCGAAATGAGTAAGGAAGAAAGAAAGGAAGGAAGGGAGAGGAAAGACAAACCCCTCTAAGATTTAGGAATGGGAAAAACAAAGATACGTACAACTCTAAAAGACAGGTTAGAAATGGGCAAAAGATATAAACAGCTCAGAATTGCTCAAAGAAATACAAACAGCCCTCAAACAGCCTCCTTCACGACAGTGTGTCGATTATAGCTTTACTCTAGCCAGAAGAGGCCAGGGAAAGTCCCTCTCATCAGCCTCTAGTGAGAAGACTATGAGGCACAAACTCTGCGAAGGGGAATCTGGTGGTATTGCACAAGATTACACAAGCCTCACCTTCCCACCCAACAATCCGCTTCTAAGGACTTGCCAGCAAAGATACACTAGTACAATCACGAAATGATATAGCCCTGTTTGCCATAACGTAAGCCAGGAAACAACGTGAACATCCTTCCATAGGGGACTGATTTTAAAAGTGACGCTCCAGCTACATGAAAGAAAACCCATGGGTGGGAAAACCACGCGACCCTCACGCAGAGTCGGGAGTGAAAGGGGAATGCTGGCTTATAGTTCGCTCCCTTTGTTGGAGGAGGGGCAGACATGAAGACAAATACATTCTGCCTATAATTTTTAAACAGAAGTGACAGAAGGGCAAATAAGCACTGACAAAAAGATTTACCTACTGCAGGGGTGGGGAGGCAGACTGGAGACAACAGGTGCCCTATTTTATAGAGCTGACAGTAGAACCATGGGAATGTATTACATAATTCAAAAGGCAGCATTCAACCAAAAAGGAAGTAAATCAGAACCACTCACAAACACTAAACAGAAACGGAAACAAACCAACCCCTTACCAATGGTGGTGGCAGAGCTACAGAGAAGGATTACTTCTGGTGACTTCTCACGTATTCTAAGGTAACCTGCCTCAAATATCTCTTAAGGCTAACAGGACCACAAAGAAATCTCAATTCAGGAATCTTACTGAAGTAATATTAGTATTAATATTTTCAGGGTGTTCTATGTATATATTTACATATATACACATATGGATTAAGTAATTAAGTTAATGCCATTAATAACTGAGATCTTCAGAGTTAAAACAATAACAACAACAAAATCAAAGAAGTAAAAACCTCCAAAATCTCAAATTTGAATTGGCAATATCAACATGAACCCATCATTTAATTTTTGGTTTAAAAAACCCCAAAAAACTCTGTTAACTAAAAACACCTAAAGATTGTGGTCTCCAGATACCATTTTCTAGTAGAAAGACTCAGAGCTCCAGAGAGAAATGTGTCATTTGAACCTAATATATCTTGTCACCCTAGAAATCAGACACTATTCGTGTTGGGCCCAAAAAACTCAGGAACCAACTTGAAAGAGGCCCCACTGACCAATAAGGGGTAAATTGAGTGTCAAGAAGAATACCTTTATAGTGATAGTTTAACCAAAATGAAACCAACCAAACAGACAAAAAATGCACCCCTGATTTGCCACTAGTAGAAGACGGTAGAATATCAACTTGCTATTTTGAAAATCGATAAATAAAAGGGGAAAACCAAGCATTTGGCTACCTTTTCCAGGAAACCAAGTATTTGATGAAAGAAAGAATTTTAGCTCATAAAGGAAGGAATTAGAAATGGCCCTAATGAAATAAATACTAAACCTGGACAAGTTCACCAATGGTTGCCAAAATCACTCAGTGAATGGAATGGGAACCTACGAGGGAGGGCTCAGGCTGGCAACACCTGAACCCACTGCTCAGCCCTAAAGTGAGGGAGTAGACACTTGATGACTTCCCCCAGGCAGCTGGAGCACACAGCACCCTCTCCAACTCTCCACAAGAAATGACTGCATCTTAGCCTCTGACCAAGGCAGGTTAGCCACTGCAGTTTAGACATGCATAAGTTTCTTGCAGGCAGGTCTAAAATAGAACAGGGTAAGCGTTCAGACATTTTTCTTATCTGTGTGTGACCTTCACCTGACCAACCAGTATATCAGACCTGATCACATTGCGGGCTGGAATGTGGATGTAGCAGTACAGTAAATCACAAAAATAATAGGGAGTTACCCAAAACACAGACATAATGCTCTAAGAAAATCTCAAATTCAGTTAGGCAGTAACTGTCATTATTTAGAAGATCCTTGTGACCTTAAAAAGTTGAGGGATGGTCATCAAAACTCATGACTAGATACCCGAAGTCCACTGTTCTTAGTTTGTGGTTTGCTTCCTCATCATTGTAAATGTATATACTTAGAAAGTTTCCTGTCAGAGGCAAGCACGTGCCCTCTCTTAAGGCGACCCTGCTCTCCTTTGAGCATGTCTTTTTCTTTCTAATAACTTCTTTCTTAAACTATACTTTGAATTCGCTCTGAAATTCTTTTCTGTAGTGAAATCAAGAACCCACAGAGAAATACACTGCACCCCACCCAGCAATATCCCTATCATTCTCTAGGAATAAGGGAGACAGAAGAACATATCAAAGAAAACCACATATATGGAATTAGCAAATGATCTGTTTCTTCAACAAACAAAAGATAGTTTAAAAAAAAAAAAAAGGGAGTGGTGGGAAAACTACGATATATTCAAGGAGACTGAAGTGATCAGGTATATCAACCAAATGCAATTTGTGGGTCCTGAGTTAAATACATTCAATTCAATTTAAAAGACTTTTTCTGTGACAACTGAGAGAGTTTGAACATGGACTGGCTTTTAGGTAACACTAAGGAATTTTTTTATTTTAAGCATAATAATTATATTTAGTTACGTCAAAACAAAAGGGGCCTTAGGTTTTTAGAGACACGCACTGGAATATATTTGCGGGCAAAAATTTAGGACATCTGAAATTTCCTTTGAAACAGAAGAAAGAAGAGGAGGAAGAAGAAAAAGGAACAAGAAAGAGGAGGAGGAGAAAACATGGGAAAGGGAAGAGATGAGATAAGATTAGCAAACTGTGGAAGCTGGGAAATAGGCAAATGAGGGTTCATTATACTCTTCTCTCTTATGTAAATTTGAAAATTCTACAACAAAACTTTTTGTTTAGATGAAGGACAAAAGGATTGCTCTTTGAGTTTAGCAGCTTCTAAGAAACCTTTTTTTTTGAGCAGACAGACCCAGTGTGGGACAGCTCCCACAAGGAAATGGACCAGGGCATCTAACCAACTTCATCAGGGATGTGATTCTGTGGGAAGCACTAGCGCTCTATATTGTCAGCCTGCTGTGGAAACTGGGCCCCCACGTCCCTGTACCCATACCCTGACTAGTTCCTTCTCACAGTCAAGCTGAGTGTGGCCTTGGAATTTGCTTTGGGCAATGGGACAGAGGCCAACATGATGCAGAGACTTGAGAAGTCTTATGCAGGTCTACTGGGGTCCAATCTCTCTTGCTGCTCTTGGGAGCCCTAACACAGCCACAGTGTACATGATCCTAGGGTAACCTGCTGCAGACATGTGCCGAGTCACCCGTCACCATGACTGACAGCCAACACCATCCACCAGGCATGTGATTGAAGCCATCCTGGACTGGCCAAGCCCTGCTGAGCTAGTCCAGGTGAGAAGGGAAACTCAACCACTCAGGTGTGAGATAAAATTTATCTTTGTTGTTTTAAGCCACTAAGGCTTGGGGCTGTTTGTTCTCTCAAGAGCTACCTCATATAGTGCATAAATCAAGAGGTGTAGGCAAAATTTTTTTTCTTCATTTGCCCACTGCCTTATGAAGACAGAACAGTAAGCTTGTGTTCTTCATCTGTTCAAATGTCATCTAAAAGGTAGAGGATAATTATAGGAAAAGTATAGACAGACAGGGATTAGAATCGCTTTCTGCCCCCACTAGCTGCGCAAAAGTCCTGTGCACCACTTATACCTAGAAGGAGCCTAATTTTCTCCTTCTAAGATGAGGATAAAACTATTGTCTACCTTGCAAACAGAATATTCACCCAGCACAACAGAGCCTCAACAGACAGCATGTATAGGTGGTGGTTCCTTACCCATCCACGAGCCCTTGCTGCTTAATGATCCGGTGGGATTCCTCCCTGGAGATCCTCCCGTGAAACCAGTGCTGTGTCCTGTGGATTACTGTGGGGGGAAGAGAAGAGGACAATAGCATGGTGACAACTCTGCTGAATGGCTCCTCTGACAGCCAACTGTCACAAATTTGGAGTCCCCGACTCCCCCAGCAACACCTCTCACGGTATCCTCTGGGCATGGGCAACCTTGTGAGGCTTAGGGAAGGTGGGAGGTGGAGGCTGTTTGATTTTCTTTAGGTTCAAAAATACCAGGCAACATGGTGTGTTTACCTGTACTTAGGGTGGAAGGGTGGAGGGGACTTTGGCTACCTAGGATATTCATCCGTGTGCTTCGCTTCTGCAAAAGAAATCCCCAAGTTAGCACTGAAGACAAGAAATCAACACACCAGCAAGTCACCCGATATGTGCAACTTCAGGGCAGGGCACTGGGCAGAATAACTGACTAGGACCACCTGGGTCCTCGCCCCACCTGAAGCCTCATCTGACCACTGAGAATGAAGAGCTTATGGGTCTCAGTTGTTAAAAACAAAAATATCCTAGTATATATTACTAGCCATCCCAGTACTGAAGCAGAGATGCACGTTTCTCACAAGGAAGGCATGATAATAAAAGTGCTACAAATATCCTGAAGAATCTTGGGAGAAACGCATGAGCTTTTCTATTAAGCTCAAGCAGTTCTCAACAAACTGGTCTCTGAAATTCATGGGCTTGGGACGTCTTCGTTCTGCCCATCCTCTGAAGCTAAAGTATGGAGAATGCTGTCCGGGACAGAGCCCAGGAGGCTCATGTTTTCCACACCTTCAAGTCTCAGGAGAACTTGGAAGCTGGGTGATAGTCTCCCCACTGGAGAGGAAGAACATGAGCCTTGGAGGTGAGGGACCTGTTGAAACCTCTAGGCTGCTGGTGGTAGAGCCATGAGCTGATCGCCTGGAGGCCTCACTCAGGCCTGGGCGCTGCAGTTCACCAGCAGAGCAGGTCTGCATGTGCGCCAAAGAAGAGGGCAGTAAGCTCAGCTCCCCTCTTCTGTCCCTTCCACAAAAGCCCGGGGACAGAGGCGGCCGAGGAAGCCTGGGCGCTGGCAAAGCAGAGGTGCCCAGAAGTGTCAAATGCTCCCTATAGCTGAGAACTCAGATGCCCCTGCTGTTCATGCCACCCCCTTGCCAACACACCACAGAACTCTTCCTTTGGGAGAAGACCAAGCAAGTGGGGCTCCTACCACGAGGGAACCTCTCCAGGTGGGCTGGGTACGGCCTTACCCTCCAGGCGTGGCCCTCCTCCAGGGCTGCACTCTGGGCTTCGGCTGGATTATCTATCACGCGTCCTGTTTGCCCAGAAAAATCCATTGCCACAAGGGAGTTCTCAGAGACACTGCGCTGGAAAGGAAAGGCCACAGGTTGTTAAACGCAGGGAAATGCTCGCATGAGACAGTCCTAGAGACGGTCAGGAAAGAGCGAGAGAGAGGCCCCCTTTGCCACCTCTGAATTCTCTATGTTGTAGGTGGAACCTCACTGGTTCAGATTGAAAATGCAGTGGCCAGAGGGCCCCTAAGCTAAAGACGACTTTTTTTTGTTGAAAAAAGAAGAAATATTCCAATCCTCTGAGTATTCGAACTACTGGTGAGGACATTTGGCATCAGTATGGTTTGGACCTGACCTGCACTAAAACACAGCAAGGAGATGGGATATCAAGGATGAGCACGGGCCTCACCAACATTCTTTCTAGGTTTGAGTGCAGGGAAGCACATGCCTCTTTCCGTGGCCTTATTTGGCATCTCCTTGGGACAGACACTGAAGGATCTTTAAGTTTGCATCTAAGAGGATGCAGTGCTTCTGTCCTTTGGAGGAGTAAAGGACACGCTGAGAAAAGAGGAGTGATGACGATCTCTCAGTCCTCGCCAGGACTGCCTGGAGCATGATGGTGGACAGACTCCATGGATCCCACGGCTTAAGGAACAAAATCCAAAGGTAAGAAAGGCAGTGCCTCACCAGAGCTGGAAGCTGCCATGACACTTTTGAGCAATTAAAGAGAGTCATCCCCCTCAACAACCTGGAGGGAGATGCAGAGATGGAAGAAGGATGATAGGGGAATTTGCTCCCCAGTCACCCCGTTGAGACTACAAAACCCGTCTCCTGGGAAATGGAATGGCATGGGCCAGGCTGGCCTCCCTGAAATGCGCACACTCTTCCTGAAGTTTCTCTGGGTCACCTTGTGTGACTTGAGATGACCACAACACGTGTGGATACAGCAGCGGGAGAGGCACTGTACTTCTGCAGGTCCTGGCTTACTCACCACTGGTGTCGAGAACGGAGACAGCAAGGCTTTCCTCTGCTGAGGGATCCGGTAGTTCTGGTAAAGGAGCATTCCATACTGCAGGAAAAGGCCAGAATCAGTCCCCAATTGGGAGCCCCGAGGCCTGGCAGGTGGCAATTGCCACCCCAGGGAAGGGCAGTGCAGAGTGCAGGGCAGTGAACCTGTAACAGCCTCTGCAATCTGACCATTGAACAACGAGAGCTCTGGGAGTACCTGCCCCTCCCCGCCCATGGTTGAGAATCCAAGAATAACTTCTGACTTTCCTGAAACATTACTACTAGTAGGTTACTGTTGACTGGAAGTCTTTGTGATCACATAAACAGTCGACTAACACATATTGTGTATTTTATATGTATTCTCACAATAAAGTCAGTTAGAGAAAAGAAAACAATGTCAGAAGGAAGACAAAGTACATCTACAGCACTGTGCTATCTTTACTGACACTGCAGGCTTTTGCGCCATCTGTTTACAGGAGGAACTGTCTCTGTCTAGTGGCGGACACCTGCAGCCACTAACCTTAGTCTATAGTCCACGTCAAGCAATGTGGCGTCATGATGTTTCTCTGCTTCTCAGAAGTACTTGCAATGGCATTCAATATGATCCCATGGTGTTATTCATGGTTTGTGCTATTGCACGATGGAAAGTTTGTGAAAACCATCAAAAGAATCACTTTACTGAGATACACAATTTACTGCAGAGACAAACTGCTCATGTGGAGATGATTTCCATCACACGGCTTTTCAAGGGGATCCTGATAACATTTATGCTCATCACAACAGGAGATGGCTACAAAATTATTACAGTAGTACAGTATGTCCTTCAGTTAATTTCATGCAGTTATAATTAACTGCTGCATCTTTACATTGGTTTACATTTCTCTCAACTGTGAATGGTGCTATGTATGGTCTGCACTTGTGTTAATAAATTTTGGTACATCTTAACATTTTATAATACATCTGTGTACATTTTATAGTAATAAATGATAAAATAGATTAGTATCTACACATATTTTATGCACTCATGGCATACTAACTTTAAAATTTTTTAAAAATATTTTTAGGCCATGCAGTTTGTGAGTTTTTTCAAATTATCACAAATCTCCAATTTCCAGCAGGTTTATTAAAAAAAAAAATCCTTGTGTGAGTGGATCTGTGGAATTCAAACTTGTGCTTCTCAAGGGCCAAGTGTGCATTCAAATGGTGCACATCTTAGTTCAGTCACTTCTTCACCCCATTGGAGAAGAGCTGACTTTGGTATAAGCAGGGCAGTGATGGTCGTACGATCACTACATCAAGAATAAGGAACCACTCCAAGTGCTACTATGCGCCAAGTACTATTCTAAGTGCTTTACATTGTTATTTAATTGAATCCTTTCCATTTTATATTCCATTATTATCACTATGTTACAGAGAATGGAACTGAGGCACTGAGGAGTGAAAACAGGTTGCAAAAGATCATGAGAAAGTCAGATTTCAGGATGTGAATGTATATAGCCTATTTGACACCCAGTGTATTCTCCCTAACCACCAGGCTTACTGTCTAACCAACACAGTGGTTTCTATTTTATTTACCCTGGCAATAAAGACCAGGGGCTCTGCAAAGTCTCAAACACATCCAATGACCCAACCTGCACTCCTGAATTACCCACTTAAAACACTTGGAATTAAAAAAAAGAGCGAGCCAGAGGAAGAAAAGTTATATCTTCCTGCTGACCCTTCTTCATGGGAGGTGAGCTCAGTTCCAGTTCTATCTTATAGCATATACTCATTTCTAAAACAAAAATATTTAGGACATGATGAAAAGTCTAATGTAGGAACAACTGCACTCCTGTGAGAGAAGAGTAAGAGTGGGTCAGAAGAAACATTTGAAGAGATAACGCCAAGAATTGCCCCAAACTGACAAAAAGACATCAAGCTGCAGATTTGAGGAGAAGGATAAATAAACCTATTCCAGGTATATCATGGGAAGATGGTCGAAAATCAAAGACAATGTCAAGAGCAACCAGAGCAAAACATTCACTACTTTCAAAGAAGCCCCTGGAGGACAGACAGTTGATGTTTTTACATAAATTACAAGACCTCGAAGACAATGGAATGGATGAATATGGAGAAGAAAACAATTGCTAATCTAGCATTCTGTAACTAGTGAAAAGCTCCTTCAATAATGAAGGTGAAACAAACATGGAGAAAATTTCTTAGACCCACTTGAAAAGAATTGCTAAGCCGAGTTCTTGTCTTAGAGACAAGAATGCAAATTCAGGAAGAACTGAAGTGCAACTATGGGTGATTAAAATAAAAATTAAGTATATAAAACAACATGTCTTAAAGGATTTTAAACTTATAGAGAATATATATGACAAGAATACTCCAAAGGGAGTGAGGGTACAGATGGAGTAAAAGTTTCTTGTATCACATGGTAAATGTACTAAATTGTCTGAAATTTTCATAAGTTAAAACTGCATGTTGTGAAAGCTAGAGTAACCACTAGAAAACAGTAAATGCATATATGGCTAACAAATTAACACAGGGAAAAACACAGATATATTCGAATCTAAAAATTAAAAGGAGAAGGAATACAGAGGAGGAAGGAAAATTGAAAAAAAAAAAAAAGCAAAGGGTAGGTTCAAATACAAATACCACTAACCACACTAAATGATATAATTAAATCACAATAAACACTCCAACTTAAATATAAAGATTATCAAGTAAAATAACCACAATTATGTTGTGCTTGTAAGAGATATTCCTTAAACCTAAGTACCCAGAAAGGCATAAAGAAGATGGTCCAAGAAAAGCTATACAAAAACTAATCAAACCAAAGCTAAGGCAGAGTGAAAATGATGAAATAAACAATATGAGCTGGGTTAGACTTTCGGGGAAGGAGCGTTACTGGAAATAATGAGGAGTATTTCATAATGTCTTACGACTGACACACCAGGAAGGTATAGATAGTCTAAACTTTTGAGCACCTCATAACATATAGCACTTAACCTATTCATATATTTCCACATCTCTCTCTCTCTCTCTCTCTCTCTCTCTGTGTGTGTATGTGTGTTTAGACAGACAGAAGTAAGAGATTCACCTTGTCCAAAGGCTTGGCTTGGTTCCTGGGAGGTGACCTCTATGTCTTTGGAATGTCCTGCCTGATAAGAGTATGTTTACCTTGAGGCCTCGGACCAGACCATGTGATCCACCTAACAACATGGTGGAAAATGGAGACCCTGGGCCAGGCATATCAGCCTGACCTCTGGGCGGGGGAGGGTCTAGAGACGAAGGTAAGTCATATAGGTGGTCAACCATGTCTATGTGGACACCAAAGCTTGGGTTGACAGCACTTGTGCATGTCGTCCCTTTGTTGGGGGAAGCAAGTGCTGGGCCCATCATTCCACCAGGAGGACGGCAGCTGGCAGCCCCACCTGGAACTCTCTGGCCTCACTGTGTACCTTTCCATCGACTAATTTGTACCCTTTCACTGCAATAAGCGTAACCATGAATATAAGAGCTTTGCTGAATTCTGACTCCTTTTAGCAAATGAATGAACCTGAGTGTGATCCTGACAGCCTCCCAATCTTGAATGCATATGTAAATATATGTATGGGTATACGAGTGTGTGTACCCTTTGTGAACTAGCTATACTGTCTTTCACCTTCCTTTTTATTTTAGCTGAGAGGGTTTTACAGATATATTTATTGCCTAATGAAATTTTTTTCCTTTACATTTTCTTTGATTGCTTCAGAATAAGAAAGCATAGCCGGAGAAACATCTTCCCACTTTTGGCAACACATAGTTCTCATTTGTTATTCGCATATACTTAAATGGGACCCTCCCAAACAATGAAGAAGCAAGGCTACAGTTGTTGTTTCACTTCTGTTTGTAAAGAGATTGCAAAGATGTTTCCACGTTAAACACAGCAGCAGCCCTTGGCACTGTGCCTGCCATGTGAAGACACATCCTCTCCATAAGTAACACAGGTACTTAAGAGTTCAGTTACACATGCAGTTGAGGCCTGGGCTCTAATGGGAAGAGCCTGTGTGGCTTTTTCTGCTTGTGCGTTAATAGTTTCCCTTTATTCCCTACTCCTGATTCCCGCTATAAGCCTCAAATGATCACAGTACCCCCCACTTCCAGTAAAATTCTCTTTTCTTATAATTTAATTAAACATAAAACCTTTCTGTTTTTCAGTGAGGTGGTATGCATGTCTATTTCTTTATGCAAAGATAACACAGAGTTTTGGGTCATAGTCAAAAGAATGACTCAGGGAATGCAGCTGAGCTCCCGGAATACACAATGAATTGAAGATGTGCATTCCAACAAAAGGGAGCTATGACCTTGTAGGACACACACCCATACGCAGCACTGTTAGTATGGACATGAAAGGAGAGAGAATCCACTAGGTCCAAGTGGGCTTCGACATCCTGGGCCCCTGTGGTTGGACAGGCTCATGTACTAGTTCAGGCCAATCAGGGAACACAGAAGTGCCACCTGTTGCTTAAAGGCTCAAGCATTTCACTGTGGATGTAAGATCCTCCAGACTCTCGCCCCTGCCTCCTGCCATGGGGCAGACCGGCCATACTCGAGATGATGACCGCTGCACCAGCTGGGTTCTAGCGGGGCAGGGACAAGTCCTTGCTGTGACAAGTCACCGAGCTGGAGACTGATAAGTAGGAATAATCTGATATACCACAATCTTTGTTCAACCGTTCTATCTGCTTGACATTTTGGGGAATCATAAGAGAGTCTGTCTTGGGGGTGGTAGGAGTTCTTCTACAATAAAAACAAAACTGACAAAACAACTTGACAACTGTTCAACTTGAGAGATCATCCTGCATGGAAAAGAGCAAAAAAAGGTCATATCAAAGATTTTCACACTTCTAGATTTTACAAAGAAGTAAACTTTGGGGGGGGGGTAAAAACTTGCGACTACCTTAAGGCTTGGCAAGTAATTTGCCAAGTAAGACAACAGGCATACAAACCAAAAATTGACCCAAACCAACCATTTAGTTTCAATAACAGTTTACAAAATAAAAGACATCTGAACATCAACTAAGAAAGGAGAACATAATCTCAGACTACGGTTAAGTCCTCTAACATGAACACAATTTGTTTCAGGTCGATCTTCCTACACTGCCCTCATTTCATTTCAGCTTTTAGAGAAATTTTCTCTACAGAGTTCCATATGTCATACCACTAGCTTTGGGAGCCACAGATCTAAATTCTGGCATCTGAAGGGGCTGTGAACGTGGGAGTGAGTGTGCCAGCAGGCAGGGCACCACCTGAAGAGGGCTGCAAACACATGCAGGCCATCCTCAAGTGTCCCATGTGATTCCTAAGACTCCCCCAGCTCAGGGAGGCTGGGTAATCCCTGGGCCCTCCACCTCATTGAACCTCATCTGTACTGGGTGGGCGGAGTCTCGCTCACAGGGGTCTTGGGAAGACCACCCGAGGTGAGGCACATGAAGTTCCTGGTTTGAAGCCTGGCATTGGGCAAGGGCTCAACTAGCGCTGCCCAGTGGGATGTTTTGCTTTGGTTCAGCACAGCTCTCCACGGCTCTTTGGTGACCTGTGTCTGCTTTTCCATGCCGCTCTCCAGGGTGAACATGCATCTCTCTGGGTTCCAGCTACACCCTTCGGCACAGTAGCGGCATCTGCACAGGGTAGGATCTCCTTTCTTCTCCTTGGACGCAAACTCCACCCTGTTCTAAAGGCAGTGTGTGGGTGCAGGGCGGGGGGAGCTGTCTCCACCAGAACCGTGTCTCATTATACTTTTCTCCTCTTTGACCAAGACACTTTGAGACAGGGCAGAGGGGAAAGAGATGACCAGAATGTCGTTGGGAAGACACAGTTGCTGACATCAGAAGGGCTTCTTCAGCCTGCTCAGCCATGGCAACAGACTGGGGAGCACAGCTATTTAGGACAGATATTCATTTCCACCCACTTGAGGCTGACCCATGTCCTGCCACTGCCACACTCTGGTGACACCCAGGCCCCCAGCCTCCTGTGAGTATGGCAGTAGGATGTATCCTCAATGCCTCTGGAATCACTAGCTGCAAAGTGCTACCTACACAGTGGCCACAAGAGCAGGCCTGCACCCGAACTGGACCTGCAGCTTCCTGGTGGCTCGTGGGGGAAGGCGGCAGAGCGTGCTAGTTAGGAAAGGGCTTCTGGGGCCAGATGCTCTGCCACAGCCCAGCAGCCACGCCCTGGGCCTTCTGTCATCTGCCCAATGAGGGTCATGCAAATGTATGTGTCACTGGGCTGCTGTAATGAGTAGGGTGACCGGTGTACAGTGATAGAGTGATAGAGCGCCCAGCCCACAGGATGTCGATATCACGTAACACAATATTGTTCACACTGACAACAATCCACGAGTCCTGTCACCAATAGCTGTGCCCTCATCCCTTCCTGCGATTTGCTATGTTACGGCACCAGGAGAGCCAGGCCTGTTCCCGGCATGTGTGAAACCCTGGGAGGAACCTGCTACCTGGGTTTATTATCATTCAAAGTAACACAGTTCACAGCTTTCTAGGGTTTACTACCACTGTACTGTTCCTTTTTTTTTTTCCTCGCTTTTTTCCAAAATAGACTATTCATTTACAGATTTTAAAAAGCTAAACACATATAAAACCTTTAAGATTTCTGCCTGGCCCTGTCCGTATGCACAGCTGCATCTGTTCTCACACTTACCTCTGCAGTCTTCTTCACGTGTATACAGCAAATACAAGTGTTTCAGTGTCTCCATCCACCACACAAATGTAGCATACTCTCTGTATTCTGTCCTGCACTTGGCTTTTTAAAAAAATTTATTTATTATAGAGACGAGTTCTCACCAAGTTGCTTGGGCTGGTCTCAAACCCACAGGCTCAGGCAATCCACTTGCCTCAGCCTCCCAAAGTGCTAGGATTATAGGCTGAGCCACCGACCCGGCCTGCACTTGGCTTTTTAATGGATAATAATTTTTCCACAACAGACTACAAAGTACATGCTCACTACTGTTAAAGCTGTGAGTGTTCCTCTCAATGGAAAGCCCTAACCAGCTCCCACTGACAGCTACTTGGAGGGCTGAGGTGGAAGAATCACCTGAGCCCAGCAGGTCGAGCCTGCAATGGCTGTGAGCGTGCCACTGCACTCCAGCCTGGGCAATAGAGTGAGACTCCAAATAAAAAAAAAAAGTGGGTTTAAAGCTGGCATGTAAGGGCTGGACATGGTGGCTCACATGTGTAACCCCTTTGGGAAGTCAAGGGGAGAGGATCTCTTGAGCTTAGAAGTTCTAGATTAACTTGAACAACATAGCAAGACGTTGTCTCTACAAAAAATCGAAAAATTAGCCGGGCATGGTGGCATACACCTGTAGACCTAGCTTCTCGGGAGTATGAGGTAGAAGCATCACCTGAGCCCAGGAGGTTGAGGCTCTGCTAAGCCATGATTGTGCCACTACTGCACTCCAGCCTGGGTGACACAGTGAGACCCCCAACTTGAAAACATGAACAAAAAAACCTGGCATGCAAAGGAGTAGTCTATGATCTACAATAGCTATACTAACACCAACATTTCCTCTTTTATTAGGAATTAGTGGAACTCTAATTTCAATACTTTCATTTGTTTTATCAATGGAGAAAGGCCCTGGGAGAGAGATACAGGATGTCCATTTGGAAGCTGATGCTCTATGGCACTCATGGAGAGTGTTGAGCCCTCCTGTGGCTCCTCCATCTCCTCCACGATGTCACCTTGCATCTCTGGGTCAGTTAAATGGCCATTGTACTCCAGTAAAGGTTGGGAGTCTTTGTAGAGAGACCCCTAGACCACAGCATCCGTCAGCTACAGTTGACTACATGAACATCTCCTCCAGAGACCCCTGGACCTTCGTCAAGTTCCTTTCAGTCAACCAACATGCAACTCACGGGGATTCTCTAGATATCAGTATCTGCAGCTCTGTGGGATGTTGTATGTGTGCAAAGAACATCATGGGGGAGACCCAGGATGAGATGAGCTCTGCTATCAGCTTCTGGCTTTCCCCAGGTGGCTACTGAAAACAACTATATGAAGGCATTCTGGCAATTACTATGAAAATGTCATCAAGGGCATGATCCCATACAAGGGTCCATTTGATGAGTCTTTTTTAGAACTCACAGGCAGGAGATACTATCTCCCCTGAGGCACCATTGTGAGTCAAACACTTTACCACATTTCCCGCATGGCCCTGGCTTTTCAGGAAGCTGAGAGTCTGCTCAGTCATGAAAATAATTTACCCTCTTTACGTTCTATTTCCTTTCTCCCTGGTCCTTATTTTTCAAATCCTATTCCTCCAACCGAATGGTCTCAATCAGGGGCCATGTCCCACCTCCTGCCCCAGGTGACATTTGGCAGTGTTTAAAGACACTTTTGGTTGTCTCATCTGGTTAAAGGGTGCTGTTGGCATCTAGCAGGCAGAGACCAGATGTTATTAAATGTCCTGCAATGCCTGGGATACCACTCCCCACCCAACAAAGAATCACTAGGCCCCAAATGTCAATAGTGCCAAGTCTAGCAAACCTGACTAACACTTTTCAGCACTGAGCCCTCAGTTAGAGGCTCTGGAGGCCTTGTCTAAAAAAATGTGTGGCTATTCTTGATGAAGTACTGTGACAGAACAGTGGAGAAATTACGGCCATTTTCCTGCCAGAAAACACACGGTCCGGTTGCTGATTCTCCACCAGGAGACGTACACTCAGCTGCACACTGTGAGACATCAGATACCTTGAGGAGCCTGAACGCTGTCATCCAGCAAGTCCTGGTTTGCTCGTCTTCTGCGCAGAGCAGCCTCAGCTCTTTAGTTTCGTTCCGAACTTTGTTTGGCTAAAGGGGGCAAAAGCAAATCAAATTTGTATAACACAGAGAGTCAGAAATGCACCTATATTCAGGCAGGGCTGCATCTTACACAGAGAAGAGACAATCAGCCGGATACGCCGAGGTGAGACACGCAGTGCGTGCACATACACCTTTGTGTCAAGCCTCCTTTCGTCCCCTCACTTGACAGACCTTCACCAGGCATTTATCAAGGACCAGCCCCGATACGAAGTTAAGTATCCCTTAGCCAAAGAATAAGCCATCCTTGGCTGGGGATTTCAGAGGAGACAAAGAGGAAAACAAACTGTCACAAGGCAATGTGGTCAGCACAACAGAACAAAGAAGGGGCAGCAGCTCACTCTGTTGGGGAAAGTCAGACCGCTGGGAAAAGAACCTGCCCTGAGTCACAAAAGGAAAGATCTTTTGTGACCTCCTGGGCAATGGAGAGGAGCTGCAAGGGGGGGCTTCTGCAGGGTTTAGCCAAGCAGGGAGGCCCTGAGGGCTCCAGGGTGGTGGTTTCCAAGCAGCCCCAAGGCCAGACCTCAAGTGGAAGGTTGAGAGACAACACTGTTGTTGCCCTGGAGGGATGACGGAAGTAGAGGCAAGCAGCCCGAGGCAAGTGGGGGCACCACGAAGGTGATGGGTGTCCACCAGAGGCAGGGCTTGTTGGTGAGGGGGAGAACTGTGGCAGGGATCAACTGATCTGGACTTCCATGGGAAACCCCGACCCTAGACTCAAGGGACGACACTCGGGGTGAACACTGCCCAGTGCTCCATCCCGGGAATTTGGGGAGCGGTTAGTGACCACCCCACACTTGGCTGACACTGTGGGAGAAGCAGAGAAGCAAGTGGGGCCAGCGGGGCTGGGGAAGGGAGGGGCATGGCTGCCTGCCCCTCCCCTGCCCAGCTTAGCCTTTCGCTGGTTATAAGTAGGTTTCTCTTACTTGCAGCCCAAAGAGCCATCCCTGAGACAGGCATAAGATGACGTTTCAGGATAAAATTTTGTCCCTGCTGTAGCTCAAGCAGAGGCTCCTTGTGTTCCCTTTGGGACAGGCTTGAGCTGAGCCCCAGAAATTAGCCCACTGTATTAATGCCAAGCACAACCGCTCAATGGCTATCTGACACGGGTGGCACAGCTGGTTTAGTTCCTACCCTGTGTGTGTGAAGATTAAATCAGATAATGGATGTAAGACCGTGAGAGGATCTCGTGCGCCGTAAACATTCAGTAAATATTCACCTACCATTATGATCAGCAGTGTTACCACAACCTCCCGATGGGAAAGGTGCAGACCCTGCACATACGTGTGCATGTGTGTGTGGGGAATACGTGTGTGTGCATGTGTGCACATCTGTGTATCTGTATGGGAGCATGTGTGTGTATGAGTGTGTGCGTATGTGTCTGCACACATGTGTATACATATATGTACATGTCTTTGCATATGTGCACATGTGTGTGAGGAGATGTGTCTGTATACTCTCACATACATTCATGCAGAAGGTGGGCAGCACTGTAGTCATTCCTACCTGACTGTCTCCATGAGTAGAAGCCCACACAGAAGCCATCGGCTCACTCAGTACCATGAAGCCCACTCAGGTGACTGGCTGGGGTCCTTTCCCCTAACCTGCTTCCTCCTCCACCTACTGCCCCAGGCTATGGTCACAGCTCACCCTTGGAGGCCAAAAGTCACCCAGTCCTAAGACACTGGGCCCACCAGCCCGCACCATTCATCACAAGTCTGCTTTTTTGCTACTCAAAACTGGCATGTAACTCACATACAATAAATGTTTTTATAGGAACAAATAGGTCCAGTGTGGACCTACATTTCTGTTAAAAACAAAAGAAGCAACAATCAAGTACTTGGCAAGAGAAGAATCTACTGTTTTAATTCATGGTTCCAGCAGATGCTGCAAGTTCAGCGTCACCTGGTGGACAGCTGGTGGTCCAGTACCTTTATGCAGAGCCCGTGGTCACTGGGGGCACCGTACTGCTTTCTGCCAGCGATCAGGGAGAAGACATTGCTGTCCTCCAGGTCAGCCAGCAGCTGCAGGTGTCTGGGCTCCTGTGAAAACGTCGGATGGGTTTTAGTCTCAAATACAGCAAAGAGCAAATGTGTTCACATTTTGTCAACAGAGGGCAGTCTGTGCTCACTCACAGTTACTTCCCCGCTGACATCTGAGAGGCTCTCACCAAAGTGTGAAATAAGTACTAAATTAATGCCAGACTGACCCAGTGCCAACCCAAAAGCCCACCTCTCAAATTCTCTGATATGAGACTGTTGGAACACATCTGATCTTTCTGCCAAATCAAGCCCTATGACCAAATATTCAAGATAAAAAGCAGGAGAAAATCTATAACTCAAAGGTCAAAGTTAAGAGCACAGCCAGGTATGGTAGCTGACGCCAGTAATCCCAGCTCTTTGAGAGGCCAAGGCAAGAGAATTGTCTGAGTCCAGGGGTTCGAGACCAGCCTGGGCAACTTGGCGAGACCTCGTCTCTACAATAAATGAAAAAATTAGCTGGGCATAACGGCATGTGCCTGTAATTCCAACTACTTGGAAGGCTGAAGTGGAAGGATAGCCTGAGTCCAGCAGGTTGAGGCTGCAGTGCCTTGAGGGTGCCACTGCACTCCAGCCTGGAAGACAGAATGAGACTGCAGCTCAAAAAAACAAAACAAAAAACAAAGTTAAGAGCATACTCTTAAACCCAGGACCTGGATCGCCCACTACCTTTGATTTGTTGCATATCCAAAGTCCAACTATACCCTCAGTCTTCCCACTGGCGGCCTTTCCCATCCTCCTCCTCTTTGACTCTCCAGTCTAGCTCTGTTTCCTGCTCTAGGCTACAACCCCCCTGGTTGCAGCATGTGCACGGAAGCTCAGTGGGCCACAAAGCAGAGGTGGAAGGTCAGGACATCACCCCGCCCTGCAACGCCTCTTCTCTTTGGCCCATCAGAACCCCTCAGAGCCAGTCTGATGCTCAGCATCCTCACCTGGGGTCCTGCTAGTACCCCCTCCACTCTGCTGCCCAAAGCAGGAGAGATCGCAGGTCCTAGAAGGTAAATGCTCAGCAGGGTGGGCTGGACAGGGCTCCACCACAAGTATGTTCGGGACAGTCACGAGAAGAGAGGAGGTGACAGTGTGCAAAGAGGTGGAGGGAGACCTTGGGCGAGGCCCACAGTGCTGCCATCTCTGGGCAGCCGGGGCCCCTCTGCCTGCATTATCACCCCATTTCGGAGGGAGATCAGTAAGCCTGTGACTCCAAATTTAGCTGTTACACAATTAGCTTATGAATAAGTCGTCATGAGCTTGGAGGAGTCTATGGTGCACTTACAAGTAGAACCCAAGTTCACTGTGAGCACTTGCAGTGGGCAGCGACCACAACGGTGTCAGAGCTGGGGCTGGTGGGTTAAAACTCACCTTGGAAGTTCCCTTTGTGGAACAATAAAGGCCAGATCTCCGCAGACACACGTAGAGCTTTTTCCATGATTTCTTTCCCAGTTCTTTCACGTGCAAAAACCCTTGAATCTCAGGACAACTACTGGAGTTCAGAAAATTCTGTGGAAGAACCAATTTTTAAAATCAGATAATGCTCATCTAAAGCAATGAAAGAGATGCATTATCAGCATAGCTGACACCTTCTGAATTTTTTTGGGTTGCACAGAGTTTGCTCCTTTCAAGAGTCTTAAAATCCCATCTAAGTCAGCATTGCCTAGAACATAATTAGTACCAAAACACACACAAGCGAATGGACCTTTCGAATACTGGTGGAACAACAAAGTCATGAATTTCTTTATGAGGTAGTACATTGAAGGATTCTATCCCTTACTCTGGTTTTTCTTAAAATATCCAATCTGAGCACCAGAGTTAGAGCAAGAGCAAATGATGAGGGGCACTGTGGAGTGGGAGTGGCATCCAGTGGTCACTTTTACTCAGGTACCCCTCCAACTGAGGGGTATGCAAAAGGCACTGTCTATCTGTCTAAACGTGATGCACTTGAGACACCCTGGTGATGCCCCCCTGTGGGTCCTCCCACTGGACTGAAAGCTCCTTCCCCGAATGTGGGATGAGTACACCATACAGTGCCTTGGTGCAACTGGGTCCAGTTCTTCCAGAGTTTCAAGAGAGCTCCACAAGCCCTCACAAAGCACACGAATCATCTCAAAGTCAAGGCAATTAAAACAGAATTTGCCGTTTCATGGTTCCCTGTGCATGGGCAATGAAAACTGAGTGCTGACAACTCTTGCCAGGACAGACACATGGTATGGTTGGAGGAGCTTCTGAAGAGACCACCTGAACAGGGCTCTGAAGTTTTTATCTTCTAGATGGTGAAACAATTCTGGTGATATCAGAGGGGGAAAAGAAGGGCTTACAGGCAAAATTTTGTAGGAATTAACTTTTTAAAGTTTCTTTTACATGTGATGCCATGTGGATATTGTTGGTTGCCTAGGGAATGGTTTATTGACACCTAACATGTGACACACCATGAGGGTGTAGCAATAATCCTCCTCTCTTCTCCCGAGCCCCAGAGGAGTACGTCAGCGTGAGGCAATGAGGCGTCATGGCTCCTCTACCGGAAAAGGGGACTGGGAAAAGACCAGGATTCCTCAGAAAAAGACTTTGGGGAGCAGAGGACAACTAACATAGGCTTCTTTATTTTCAGTGCATGGTAAGTTACTTTTCCAAGGACTCTGTGGTAGCCCTGTCACTTTTGATGTAAAGTAGCCTCTGTACTTTCTCAGAGACATCCAAGGAGCAGCAGCCTGATCTGGAATTCCAGCTCAGAGAGGAGCATGCAGGGACCTCTCAAGATCTGACTTCTCCATGTAGCCCCCGATACTGCTGAGTCAGAGCAAGTGCAGCCTGTGTGTACATGCCTGGTTCACTTTGCAGGAGCCCAGCGACACGCAGATTTCCCAAGCAAACTTTCATTTTCAGTGACTCTGAACTCCACTAGGAGCCAAGACTGCATGTGCTTAAGGACACAATCTCTTCAGGTTTTCACAACATTGCCATTTCAGTTCCAAGGACTCCCACCCAGAAAGTCTATCTCAGCAGAAGTCTATTCTTGCCCAGTACCTGCAAAAGCTGGGTCTGACTGCCATTCGACTGCTGGCACCAAGTAACCATCTGTTCTGGGAAGAAATTCTATGGAAATGCGGAAAAACAAATGTGTTAAAGGTTAGCTTCCAAGTGCAGGAGAAGCACGCTTGCAGTACGAAAACCATTCCCACAGGCTCACTTAGTGTGTATATTTTAAATGACAGTCCTTTCTGCCACCATGGCCTACCGTGGAAACACCTACTTTAAGACGCTGTATTTCATCTCTCTGATGTAGGATCCAAGTTTAACATATTGGTTATATTGACTACAGAACTTCTGTCTCACGGCACATGCCATGGCAAGACGGATGCCAGGGTTAGCCCTCAGCGGCACAGCGCAGGACCTGAGATAAAGAGCCTCTAAACTTAAAAGTAGGCACAGCCATGTGAAAAGGCATTTGCTGTTGCACTTCTCAAAAACAGCCTCAAATTTCTTATATCTGATCACAGAGCCAGAAGTGGACCTAGGTCTTGTCCCCAGTGGACACGGCTCTGCCCCATGACTCTGGGTAACAGCAAGTGCCCTAGAAGTTATGGGGCTCCCTCCCTATCCTGCCATTTCCTAAGAGGAGCGAGAAGAAAAGGAGAGAGACCAGGGAGCCCAGATTCAGATACTGGTCAGTCACACTAACCTCTCTACACATTCTTCCCCACGCTGCCACAAACCATAGATGCTGTTGCAGAGAAAAGGTGTTTTCCTGTCGCTGCGCTTGTAATCAATTTGATCCAGAGTAACTGAGAACTTTCAAAATAAGCCGGGCTCGGTGGCCCAGCCCGTAATCCTGCGCTTTGGGAGGCCGAGGTGAGTGAATTGCCTGAGCCTGCGGGTTTGAGACCTGCCTGGGCAACTTGGCGAGACCTCATCTCTACAATAAATTAAAAAATTAGCAGGGCGTGGTAGTGTGCACCTGTAGTTCCAGCTACTTTGAAGGCTGAGGCGGAAGGATCGCCGGAGCCCAGCAGGTCGAGGCTGCGGTGGCCGGGAGCGGCCACTGCACTCCAGTCTGGGCGACAGAGTGAGACTGCAACTCAAAAAAAAAACAAAAAAAAACAAACAAAACAAAAACAAAATAACTGAAGAAGCCCAGCCTTTCCTCTCCTGACTTGGAGACCAACCCCCTTCCATTGTTTCTATCGGAAGGAGGAGCTGCTCCCTTCAGTCAGTCACAGGGCATCCTGTGAAGCACTCAAGACTGGGCTCTGAGCAAGGGCTGCTCTGACCAGGAGCAACGGAGTCTCAAACCCATGTGCGACTAGGCATGTTTCAGTCAGTTATTTTATAATCTGACACCGTGAAACTCAAGAATAACCATCAAGACTGCAAAACTCCCAAACCCCAAACCTGAAACGACTCACCATGGGATTTTTGAAAAACTCATACTTCGCATAATTCTTCCTGAATAAAAATTTACTCTCGCTGGCCATGGTACTCTCCACCTGGACCACCAGCTCATGGTCTTCCAAGCACCTCTCTGTGGAGTAAAGCAGCATGGGTGAGATGCAATGGGCAGCAGTGAGGCAGCTTTGCAAGCACGGGCAAGGTCTGGCTGACTTTCTGTTCTTAAGCATCCCAAGAAAGATGGGGTCAGGAACTAAGTGACATTTCAATCTCTCTTTAAATGCAGAAGAGGTCTCAGAATACAGAGAAAGCAGAATTCAGGTTGATTCTTACTTTAACATCTGTCTTTTGAATTTGGCATCAACAAAATTTACAGAGAGTCAATAAAGAGTTTGACCCTCAAATTAAGAAGTTTCAACTCTTGTAAAGAACAGACTTTAACGACTAGTAAATGCTCAAAGACGAAAGAAGGACGTGGGAGAGGTGGGGTGGGGGTGGAGGAGGTGGAGGCTTGGTGATGACTTGACCCTGGGCTGCCTGAAACTGCCTCGGGAAATGTGACAGGCTGGGGCACTGGAAGCTAGCGAGACTGTGTGTACAAACATACTCCTCTTTCACACTGAAGCCCACGCTACCCACCTCATGGACTAGTTCTCGTTGACTGGATTATGTGAGAAGGGAGGGAAGAAAACACACCAGCGCTCACTGGGCACACACAATACACACATGCATGTGCACACACATACACACATACTTCAGAGTGTCTTGTTTGGCAGCACTGTCACCCTGCAAAGGTTATCTCCCTGCCTGCTTGAACATGCTGGTTCATGTGGAGCATTAAGAACTTGGCATACCCCAGACTGACGCGTGCCAGGAGATGCCGCGCTGCTCAGCCTTGATGGTGGCCCTGCCTCCTCCCAGTATCTCCTCAAAAACTAATGACACAGGGGATGGTGGTCACAGGATACTAAGCATGTCAAATAATAGAATGAACAAGATGAATAGCTCTGTGGCAGGGTCAGCATGTGAACTGATGCCAAAATGGTACAGATGCAGACATCATGGAACTGAACACCGGGGCAGTTCCGTCCTCAGACACTCAGAATAGAATTACTAGAAATGTCTCCCCTTGGAAGTAAGGCGTGAAGTGGCAAAAGCATTTCAGAGTCAAAATAAACCCAGAATGGAAAAAGGGTTTCTGACTACAAGGACAGTTGCCATTAGGGGCGCTTGTCTCAGATGGGCCACAATCAACACATGAAGCAAATTCTCGAGTTGCTTTGTCTTTGGCCTTGGGTTTGATATCACAAAAAAAGGATTCCTTGGTAAAAATGTATTTAAAGCCAGAATCTGTAAAGGGAAGGAGTTTTCTCCCCACGGCTGCAAGAAAGCCTCAGAAGCTCAGACCTGGCACCATCAACAACCTCAGAACTGTTCCCATTTGTCCCTATCTGGGGAGGGAATTTTGCTAGCAACATGGGAACCAAAGCAGGGCCCTTATGTTTTCTTATGACAGAAAAAGAGAGAAACCACATGCAATTTGAGCACGCAACTAAATTGTAATGTTTGCTTTTAAAAAAGAGGTCTGGCTCAAGGTCATTCAGTGAAAATAGATTTTCCAGGGGAAAAACAAATCAATGACTTCCACGAGATGTTTATTCAGAAAAAAATTATCTCTGTAGTTACAAGGAAAAAAAAAAAGCACACTCACACACAAATCAAATAAAAACAACCAACCAAATACCTTGCTCATGTACAGAATTAAAAACTTTTATTAGGGAAAATAAAGAGAAATGAAACAGGGAGGTGGCAGCTACCTAAGCGAGGAAAAGATGTCTACTTCCCAAGCAAACAGCATTACGTTTTCAGAGAACCCCAAGGAGAGCCAAGCAGGACCCCTGGGTGGCCTCCTGCCCAGGTACATGCAGGCTCCTCCCCAGGGGACAAGCCCTCCTTGTGTCCCTGTATTTCCTTGTAAATATCATGGGAAAACTGCACACAACAGTGTGAACACACAGGGGACACATCCCTGGCAATCAGGGATGGTGCGAGTGCTTGGTGCTCTGGTAGTGAGGGGTCTAGGGCCTTGAGGTGAGTAGTAGACTGCCAAGGCAACCGTGTTTCCTGAAAGGAATGTGCTTCTCTGACTCTGGTCACTCTGGTAACCCCAGGAGGCCCAGGATTCCCAGAGGTGGGTCCCAGTACAAACAGAACATGCTGCATCTTTCCCTCTCCCTTACTTGCAGCAGGTAGGGATGCAGTGGACAGAGCGGCAGGTGAGCCCCCTTCTCAGAGATCTGGCCTTGGGCTATGACCAAATATCCCTGATGCAAATATCCCTAGACACCAATGTGCCAGCTCTCAGTAGACTTGACAACGTCAGCTCAAAGCTCTTCCCTCCCAGTTTAATTTCCTCCATGATTCTAAAAATACATATTTTCAAATGACCTTGGGTGATTATATGAAATAATCCTATCACTGTCTTTAAACCTTATAATATTACAATATTACAAAGTACAAGTGGAAGGCTATTTTTCATCATGATATTCCACAAGTAATTTTTGTACAAATGGGAAAGGCAGAAATTCCTCAAAGGACATTTGCATTTTTCAGATTTCTGAAACTAGGGCCAGCATCTACACCATCAGCCTACTCCATAAGAAAAACACTTACATATCGGACAACTTAAGAGAGAGCATCTTACTTCTCTGCCTTAAAACATGCCGCTAGCATGCAGCTTCTCAGCAAAAACCTAAGCCACCTGGGTTGGCGGTGGCAGTGGCAGAACCAGTGCACAGAGCCCAACACCTAGCTGCTGCCCTTGGGCTTCGTGAGAACCAGTCTTCAGCCACTCCCTGCCCATCATCACTCAGCACAGCCCATCGAAGAAGAGAAAAGCACTGTCAGCAAGCTCAGAGCTTCCCCAGCTCAGACACTGCGAACAAAGCAGTCAGTGAGACAGCACGTCTACAGAAGACCACCTGGACGGTGGCTAAGTCCTGTAAACGACCTTCTTTCTGACTAGAAAATTAGTGGGGAAAGGGCATAATTTGGTGCATTTTAGAAGTAATGGAAAGGGAGAAAGAGATAGAAAATCAGTCACGTAAGGCCCTCTCTAAGCATTGAGGGTCAATATAGGTAGGCTGTTGCTTCTTGGAAACCTTTCTGCATGTTCAGATATCAGTATCTGAAGTGTAGCAGCCGTATTACCATGGCACTTCTCATATGACCAGGAGCAAACACAAAGCTGTCGATAGTCCAAGGAAGGCTCGACACTTTTCCTGAGGTGTTTCGCCCTACTTCACGGGACAACAGAATTCCTCCAATCCTTGGAATTCAAAGGATCTGGCTAAAACCTCTTCTCTTCACTGTACTCTATGTTTAAATTCCAGGCTCTCTCAGATTATCTGACTGTTAGTCTCTTTTCACGATGTCCATGGTCATTCAGGGCATGAGAGCCCGGGGCATCTAGTGCCCCACCCCCTACACTCCCAAGGATGGTGTTTTCCTGAAATCTCATTGTCAAGTTCAGGGGGCACCAAGATGCTGTTTTGTACACTTAAATTTGTGTTTTTGAAAATGCCTTTAAAAAATAACTTGCTTACTCGATACCTCTGCAGGCTGACTGTTCAACATCACCGTGCCCACTATGTGTGAAGCTGCCCTGGACCTTCCAGACACGTGCAGCTCTAATGCTCAGGGCAGGAGGGACAGGGATGCTTTCCAAAGGACCCACCCCATTCTGGAATCTCCTGCTGGACTTACTGTGGGTGTTGGTGAGGGACAGTGTTTCCACAGTTGAGAGCTGTACTCCCAGAAACGGAGGCTGAAAGATCCCAACAGATAGGACTTGTGGGTAGTCTTAACCTTAACCTAAGGAAGGGATCACTTAAAGGGATGACACCTAGAGCGAGGTCCTGGGAATCACAAAACACAGGATGTGCTCATCTAGGACCATCAGTCAGAAGACTTCTGCCTATCAAGACAAAAGCTTTGCATCCCTGTGCAAAGCACCTCAAGTAGTGGGTGCTCTTAGGAGCTGACCCTGGGGATTTGGGACATCTGACCTTACTCTGGTCACAGGAATCCTCCTCTGCTTACACACAAAAACACAGTATGGCAGGAAAAATTCTCACCAGTTGGAGATGCTGCCCTGCCAGATGACAGTAGAGCTGCCACTGTTCTTCCAAATGGTGGGTGACCAGCATTGCTAGAGCTGTCCTGTTGCCTGCAGACACCCACACAGGGATGTGCTCGTCCCAGTAGAAGGGGAGCCAGCTCCTAAGGGCTACCTGTTTTAAAGCCATCATTCCATTCCAGGTGTGGGAAAGTTTTAATACTGTTAGGGATCTAATACATTAGCTAATAAGAGCAATGTATAAGCTAAGTATCCCTTTATCCTAAATGCTTGAGACTAGAATTGTTTTGGAATTCAGATTTTTTTTTTTTTTTTTTTTGGTGTGGAATGTTTGCAGTTTATTTACTGGTTGTGTATCCCAAATACAAAGATCTGAAATCCAAAATATTCCAGTAAGTACTTCCTTAGAGTGTCATGTTGGCAATCAAAAAGTTTTAGATTTTGGAGCACTTCAGATTTTGGATTAGGGATAGTCAACCTGTAATAATTGTGCTTTAAAATTCCCCATTTCAGAGGCTACATGCAGACCAAAAATGCTGCCAGAATTAGCTGCCATATGCTCTCATTGGGGCTTGGGTTACAGTTTGCCTTATTATCCACCTCAGGGATTTGTGAGCATTGGCCGTCTTTTGCCCCAGTCACCAGCCTGCTGTGTGTCCATGTTCCTATGAAGGATAAGGATAAGATAACAAGTAACTACGTAAGAAAGGTACTCTCCAAAAGGACGGCAGTACTTGGGGCTGAGAGCGGGTGAGGGTCAGAAGGGCTCAGGAACATGCCCTAGAACATCATCTGTGGCCGAGAAGCATCTCCTACAGGCCCCTGGCTCTCGTACCCCATGGGGGAGGCTTAACGCTGAGACACCCTCTCTGAAAGCCCTGCCGGTGGGCCTCTGACCACTGAATGCTGCTGCATCAGAGCAGACATAGGATTTTCAGCTAAATAGCAACTTTCAAGTAATTATTTTAAAAAGGCAAGTGACAGGCTTGGGTCACAAACAGAACATGCAGAGAAGTTACAGGGATGGAAACACAGAAACTCTATGTCAACAGGGGAACCTCTGTGGGTGTGCAGACCTCACAGGATGGAACAACTTGGTAGTTCTAAAACCTCACAAGCTTCTCTTCAACACTCAGCCAGCAGGAAAAGTGTGTTCCCTTGTCACTAGTGAGAAAGGAACTCATGGCAAAAAAGACCAGGGAGGAAAAAGTTCTAAGCAATTTCAAGTATCTTTAAATCCTGGCTGTGTGAGGTTGGTTCATTAATTTCTTTTTGTCAAAAAGGATCCCAAATTTGGCTCAAGTGTTCCTTTTCCTTTTCTTAATCCTTTCATTTGCTCTCTTCGCTTTTTTGCCCTTTTCCCCTTGATTTCAAAATTAAGTATTATCCCCCTTAGAGTATATTAAGTCCATCTGTAAGGCAGAAGAATAAAGTATATAAATATCATATCACCAAGAATACTTTGTGTATATGGATATTTCTTTTCTGTTCCTTCAGAGTAAATTGTTTTTCATGTGGTTATTTCCACAGTTTTAACATATAATTTATCTACTATATGGTGTTCTGGAAGCAAAGGGGTATTACAAGAAATATGTTCATCGAAATTTCTAAAGCATTCCTTGCATGTTAAAATGTTTAGGTGTTCCTGTGCCCATTTTCTATGTGTCCTGTGTGTATTCAATTATATTCATGTAGTAAATACTTGCAGACAGGTGACTTACAAGTGTACCTGCCACACTGCACTGAGTATTCAGCAGCTTTTGACCAAAATCAGCATGACCCACCTTCTCGTTGTTTGCCCAATCTTGCCCAGAGTGACTTTTTCATTTCCCCAGACGAAAAAAGTCCTCAGAGAGAACCAGTTTGTTGATATGGAAGAAGTGAAACAGCAGAAGCACTACAAGGCATCAAAACTGTTGAGTTCAAAAACTATTTTGAGTTGTGGAAAAAGCATCTTGATAGGTGTAGTGCATCAAATGGAGAGTACTTTGAAGGTGCCTGAAGTTTAAACATGTAAGAATAAACACACACTTTTTTAAATAAACAAATTCCATTTTTTGGGGTCCCCCTTGTATATATGTATTTTTTTATTCATTCTCTCTCTCTCTCTCTCTCTCACTCTCTCCAGGTTTCCCACCATTGTTTAATTTCGAAGTCATCTGCAGGTCAACAGGCACTTCTGACAGCCTTATCAGATCACTGTAGGATCCACTCACAGATGTCCCCAACTGGAGCTTGATAGGAGGTAGTCTCTGTGGGAACATCTGTGATGTGATGGTTAATGTGAACCTAGTGAATGACCCTGGCAGGAGAAAGCTGTCAGTGACAATGAAGAAGGCTTCTGTTGTCACACAAATGCACTCGTGATCAGTAGAGACAGAAAAGAAAGCAGCAAGGCCCATGGGATCACTTGAAAAGGCATACCACATGCCTGGAAGTGCAGCACAAGCTGGAGGACAGAACCCTAAAGTCATGTCAATGGCATAATTTAAGGCTTGAAATATGTTGGGAGAATGCTACCCAGTTAAATAAATATTCCAGATCTAGAGTTTTCAATTCAATTTATCAATCTTTAAAAAGAGTCATGAGAAAAACTCAGGACTGTGGGAAGTTTACAATCTGTGTTGTTTTTGTCTACTTCAAAACATAGAAGAAACATGGCTGCCAATTTAGGGAAAAGTCTGTTTTAAAAACCTGCCTATGATTTTATCCAGTAAGAATTTAAGCAAAAGTCTGAAAAGCTTCTGTACCTGAAACAGACCACCTGAACAAACAAAACAAAGCAAAACAGCTCAATCAGATCTGTCAATGGTAAATATATTTTCAAATATTGCACGATAAAAAATATTCTCTTAAATGGTATGATGGACACTGGAGACTCAGAAGGGGGAGGGAGGGAAGCGGTGGAGGGATGAGAAATCACCTATGGGTACAATGTGCACGGGTAGGGGTGGTGGGGACACAGACTCAAGCCTAGGTGAAATTGCCTTGTAATGTGTCCTCCCTACTTGGCTGCAGCCTGACACCATGGCTCCCTTCTTCCCACCAGCTGGATGAGCTGCTTTCCTGAGAGTGGGAGCACTGAGTGGCTGGCTCTTCTCAGGGCACTGTGTGGCTCCCTCCCTCCCTCCCCTCCCCACAGGTGTACAACAAGCCCCACATGGCTCTGCCCCCTGGGGAGGGGAGGCAGATCACAGGGAACCTTCTCACTGCGGCTGAGCCTTTGGGAAATTATTGCTTCCACTGTCCAAGGCAGGATTCCCAAAGCATCAGAGGGGAGGAGGCGAAATTTGAGGAGAAAGAGGAGGCAGGAGACAGGAAGTCACACCTTGGGCATCAGACAGCAGTGGTCTTCAGTTGATCGCCACCAAGCACCCCCAGGTGCTGTCCCACCCTGATGGGTCCCTACCTAATCCTAGGTGCGGGTGGTGCTCCACTAGGGTCCAGCTGTTGTCATCCACACAATGACTTTTGTAAACCAGCAATTGGCACAGGTCCCTGGCTGTCATGTCTGCTAGAATCTCCACCACCTTGCTCGTCCCATCTTCACTAAAGACTTTAACATCCTGCAACACACAAAGGGGACACGTACAGATAAACAACGTTGGGTTTTCAAGAAATAAAAATTAAAACAAAACAAAGCAGGAAAAGTAAAAACATCAGTGCTCTAACACATGTACAACTGTTTTTCCAGGCAGCCAAATGGTCTCCATGGCCGCAGGGACATGATGCATCTGCCTTCCCTTTGCCCACTTCCGATGGGCAGAGCCGGTGGGATTACCACGTGACATTCTTAAGATGCCCGGACACACCTCATGGGAACTACAGCACACAGGAACATAGAGCACACCGACGACTTGTCAAGAGTGACAGGACTCATTTAAAATACTGCTTGCTGGTGGTCTTGGGGTCGGACACCGTACACATGAACAAACTTCAAAATCGAGCCAAGCACAAAAAACCCTGCAGGCCTTTCTCTGGCCATCACAGCTCTCAAGATGCCACCTACGTTCAGCTCCCAGGGCCCAGGACCAGCAGCTAGTAACTAGCACCCTTCGCATCACTGAGGCTTAGGTGAAGTAGAGGGAAAGCAAAATGAATATGACAAAACTTAAAATAATAAAAAGAAGAGTGCGGTAAGAACACAGCATTCTATAGCCCCTGGTCTTTGCAAAATTACCAGTGAGCTTCACTTCCCCAGTACAGTTCAAATCCATTAAGACTGAGCAGCTACCCAGGCCAAGGACGGTCAAGTGGGAATCTAGAGGATTCCTGGGATATTCTGCCCTCGTTAGAGCACTGGTGATGTGCCCGCTTGGAGAATGCCAGGCATTTTTAAAACAGTCTTACCTCAAAAGTATGGAAAAAGAAGTTGGAGGAGGAGCAAGATGGCATTTTAAATCTCAACTGCCTCTCATGGGAGAGTGTGTTCCCGTCTCTCTCTACTGTTCCCAGCGAGCCGTGTGGAGCCCGGGTATGCCAGGCTGTCTCTGTGCAGCAGGGAAGTCGCCTGCCTGCCCGCTGGGCCCCCAGGCTGCCTAGCACCGGGTCCCTCAGGTTGTGAATCAAGCCGCTCTGGGCAGACCAGCAGTGCCCTTCCTGGGGCTGATGCAATCACCCCCACTGCTCGCTCTCCCACTTCCAAGTGCTGACACCCGGGGCTGGGGGTCAGGACAACAACAGGAATCTCAAACCAGTTGGCCAGAACAATCTCTGCTCAGTGTTTTCCCACGGCAGGGGAAATGACACACAGGCAACTCGAGGCTGAAGCACATGCGTTCTCTGAATCCAGACCCATCTGCCAAATCTCCCAGTAATCTTTGTCCCCACAACTGATGCGTCAGTGGCATTTTTAGCGCTGGATCTTTCGCTGGATGTGAATGTCAGTTTGTCCTGGCAAACTCCCTCCAACTCTCCTGCTCTCTCTGGTCCCTTTCCATGTTTTGAACCATGTGCCTACTCTGTTTGAACTTTGGTTTCCACGGCAGGGAGTCTGTCAGCAGAGAGTGAAGGCTGGGAGGGACACCCTCTGCCATCAGAAACCAGGACTGCAGTATCCCACAGACACAGTCCCCAGCTCTCCTGCTGCTGCTGCCAGCCAGCAGTTACCCTGTGGCCAGGAAGGAGTTAACATCACTCAAGCCTTGATTTCCTAGGTCAGGGGGCTTCCATGACACAAGGAAGGCATTCTTGGAGCAGCAGACAGGACAGACCAGCCTGGGGACCCAGGCTCCCAGGTGGAGTCACCAACCCCTGCCTGCCACCTCTCTGCCACTTCCCCCACTCAGAGAAATCCCAAGGCTCGGGCTGGATCAGGACTTGCTTCTAACTCACATTCATTTGTAAAGAAAACCACCCATCTCTTTTCTGGAGTTTACGTGTCACTCAACGAAAATATACTTAACAAGTGAAATGGTCAAACACAGCAGACATGACTAAGTCTGTAAAAATAAAATTTAATTTAAATGAAGAAAACATGTCTCTGAACTCTAGGTAAGAACTTTCAAAATGCATTAACATGAAAAGAAAAACAGAATTTTGGAAAATACAAGTGAATTCAATCAACACCTCATAAACATGCTAACTCTTAAGACCAGGCGTGCTCCACTACCCAGATGGCCGCTCTGCTTGCCCTTTCTTCCCTGAGTTTCTAAATGAGTGGATCTGCGACAACCATGCACAGACCCTTCTCCAGGAAGGTTAAACTATGCTGAAGTGTGTGTTTCCTGTCTCTCTAGGTCCACTGGCCACTTGTCTTGCCTGAATCCGCTGTGGCAGCAGGTTCCTTTTTCTTTCCAGCCTGACTGTGTTTTTCTTTAGACTCTCTCCCCACCCCTCCCTTGCTTCACCACCACCCCTAAAGGTCTATATATAGTCTGAGTATTAAAAGCTGAGATGTGCCTGGTTACACATCCACCTCCAGTCCTTCTAGATGCCCACAGAGGCGGGGCAAGGCGGGAAGGGGACTGAACTAGACACAGAGGCATGCACCCTCCAGGGACAGGCCCGTTCTGCCCCAACATGGCACTCTCCAGCTGCTTCCCCAGGCTCGCCAGGGCCCGCTGACCATGCACAAAGCCAAGCCCCGAGACAGAACACAAGGAAAGCCATTACATATAAAGCAATCTCCAACTACCCGGTCGGCACTTGAAGTTATTAAGAATGTCTGTAAGGAACGTGTGAGGCATGAAGGCTTCCGTTATACAGACCACCAGCCACCACCACATAGACTTTTAGAGCTGGCAGTTCTAGAAGGAGCATTCTGTGCCATGCCAACTACCCCTTTAGTAACCATATGGGCTGTGTTGGGGGCTCAGGGCTCCTGGAGAGCAGTCCTGAGTCTCCCAGGTTCATCCAGTGATTAAGCAACTAGCTAGCACAGGACGGGTCTAGAAGGTTCTCTCGAGCAGGGCAAAGCCTCTTCCCTGCAGCAACTCAGCTCAGCAGGGAAACAATCACTACCATGGTGGTTAACAACCTGTCCAGGGAATATAGGACCGGGTGATACCAGGAGGTGGAGGAGAAGCCGAGACTCACCATTCCCTCCTTGCTCAGCCACCTACAGCCCTGTGACCTCAGGCAGGGAGTCACCTGTCCAATTGCTTTCCCCATCGGTAAAGTGGGGCACTGCTCTGAGAAGCAGTCATGAACACAAAGCACCGTGCTCAGCATATGGGAGTTACAGGATTAGTTACAACCTATCTTGGCCCAGGGTGATGGTTCCCATGAGGAGCTCTAGCATCAGACCAGGCCATAATCCTGCTTCACTGGGAACCGGCTGTGAGGATGCAGCGAGAGATGTCCAGTCTTTCTGTGCTCAGTTCCCTCATCTGTGAAATGGGCTCCATAAGTAGCAGTGGCCTGCCTCAAAGTGTTGGGATGGCTTGGGCTTATGATGCACTTTCTTGAAAGCTGCCAGATGCCTGCACCTGCCCTCCCTGCGCTGTGCTGAGCTCCAAAGGGGGTCTAGGAACAGGCCGGCTCTCGCTGAAGGCCCGCAGACAATCAGAGAAAGGTACAGAGGGAAGGCTCTGAAGGCCACTTCTGACGCTGGATCAGTTCCGAGAAAGAAACCTCTGGACTGGAAACATACAGCGGGAGCGCTTCAGTCAGAAAAGCCAGCTCCTAAATCCTCAATTTCCTTTTCTCCACTGAAGAGGAAACTTACACAGCTAATTGCTTTTAAAAATAAAACAGTAATATCAAAGAGGGCATAATTATGTCAAGAGCATGAAGCTCCTTTCTTTCAGAGTCAGTGGGGGAGGAACGCTTTGCCAAGCTATCCGGCCCTCTGGCTGGCTGGGCACCGCATCCTGCTATGAAAAGCGGGAACAGAATGTTCCATTGTTCCTGGACTTCGTTGCCACTTGTTATGCATTCACTGTATAGAGAAAGAAGCAATAACTGAATTTTTTACAAACTTAAAGAAGCCTGTAATCCCGCGCTTTGGGAGGCTGAGGTGAGTGGATTGCCTGAGCTCGTGGGTTCGAGACCCGCCTGGGCAGGCGAGATCTCATCTCTACAATAAATCAAAAAATTAGCCAGGCGAGGTAGTGCACGCCTGTAATTCCGGCTACTCGGAAGGCTGAGGCGGAAGGATCGCCGGACCCCCAGAAGGTCGAGGCTGCGGTGGCCGGGAGCGGCCGCTGCACTCCAGTCTGAGTGACAGAGTGAGACTCCAACTCAAAAAAAAAAAAAGAAGTTTAGGAACAATGAGAGCTGAGGTACATTATTCCTCCGTGGCCCCAAACACTACTCTGGGGCGCCTGGTTTTTGGTCTCGGGGCCTCCACCTGGCCCCTTTCTGTTGTCAATCTCGGCACGGACCTGCACTCCCGCTTCATGCGACAGACAGACCTTGCTGCTGCTGCTGCTGCTGCTGGCTGACTTAAAGGCTTAGAGAATCTCATTACCGAATCCAAAAGACCTCGACTTTGGCTGTGAGCCTTTGCTAAAGGCTCCACGATAATCACTTTGTAAAAATAGAAAATGGGGCACTCTCAGCTTTTTGCTCTCTTAGAGCTGTCTGCAGTGGGTGAAGTCCCTGGACAGACAGACGGCCTGGCCTCTAGTGTGCACAGATTGACCCAGAGTCGCTGAGACCTATGTCCCCACCCCAAGACCTTCACATGGAAGCCGAGACCACAGAGGGACTTGAGTTAGCAGCTTGTGGGACCAGCTTTATCTCAGCTCATCTTTTCAAAAGCTCTCTTAGGATGTAATGTGAATTGGGGTTTTTATGAACTCCTGAAGTCACTTACAAATACTTGTGGGTAAGCCTTTTGGAGAAGTCAGGTTGCAATCACAGGGCCAGGAGGAGGCATCCACAGGGGGAGGTGGCAATATAAAAAACCAGGCAAGAGAGCCTGAAGACATAGGTGGGAGGACGTGGATGAACCCTCATTCTGGGTAGGTGATCGACCCTATCTTGTTCTGCGGGGCCTTCAGGCGAGAAAGCAGGAAGACACTGCACCCAGGTAGGTACAGGAAACCTGAACTCCCAGGCACATGCCACGGCCCCTCTGACCAGAGGAGAACATTTTTTTTTTTCCTGGAAGGCAGAAAGC